TTCCAGAAAGATACCTAAAGGCTTCACGCAGTTATATTTAAAAATAGCAAATTTCTTCGCAAACTATCAATCAGAATTCTGGGTAATTAAAAAGAATATATCCTTTCTAAGTTTTGCGTCTACTCTCCCTAATAATGTCGCAATGGTTAATTACTAATATTTAGGGAAATTGCAATAAAATGTTTTAAGAAATAAAGTTCGCATTTTCGTGAATGTTGCATGTTATACTGCATCATTCACGACAAGAGCTTTATTTCTATTCTACTTACGGATCTAATATATGGCTGATCGTTTCCTCCATAGAAAAACGAATAAGGCCATTATATGTCGCGATTAGGCTTTTCCATTTAACACCAGAGGGTCCACTTATTTCCATTGCAATAGAATGCAGACGATTTGAACATTTGGATTAATTATTGGATTAAAAATATCCTTTAATCTTTTGTAAATTTGTTTGTATCATATACTGATTAATTTTTATCAATATAGGTTGTCTATTTTATTACTTGATCTGAGTGTAAATGTTGTGGGGAGGTCCGTGGAACAGCCCCACTTAGCTATAAAAATCGACATTTATCAGCTTTTTTGGACAATACACACTGTTTAGACTGCAGAAGACGACGCATCAATATAGTCTAAATAATTATTAGATTCTAAATTCAAATATTCATTTCACCTGTACAAGAAATAAGTATTTCTGATCTGATATTTTTTTTTATTACTCTCATGATTTATTGGAAAATAATGTCCGCGGCATTTCTTTGATCTCGGCAATAACTGTAGTAGAATTACTATGAAATCACATTTCAAAATTTCTCATCTTTGTTTACTGAAATACGACGTTTCGATTATAAAACATACCTTTTAGATTATCCAAATATCACAGAAAACCAGGCCTGCTGAATGTTAGAATTCTCAGGTTAAGATTCGTACCATGTAATTATTTCATTTAATCTGACTTTTTTTTGTCAATTGTTGACAAAGAGTACAATGGAAATAACACATGCGTATTCAAAGCATTTAAAATAAGCATAGTAAAGATTGTGATACATTGATATTGATATTTTTACTGCGATCATTCATAGTGACAAGCGCTCTGAATGATTAAAGATAAAGAGTCTAACTAGAATTTTTAAAAGTCTGACAAAAGCACTAAGGAAATAATACAGTGATTAAGAAAATGTGTGCTTTAAATGTGCTTCGAAAACAGAATCTTACCTAAAAAAAGTTGACTCCAGCTGTGTTGAGGGAATTTGGGGAATGCTTTTTAAATGTTTGTCAAACTAATTTTCATATTTCATGAATTACTTATTTGAATGAGAATGTTTTCTATATATATTAAAGTGGGTTTAATTTGAAATTTCATATACTATTGCAAAAGACATGGATAACAATATCAAACATACGTGAGGTAGAATGATTCACGAATATTTAATCGTTAAAATCTTTCAATATAAAGAATCAATTTTCTGTAATTGTCCCGGGTATTCTGATGTAAAGGAAGGACATTCTCTTTACTCTGCCACGTTTTAGTCTTTTAGAGTTGTTCGGCCATATATCTTTATTTCTAGACGGTGGCTATTTATAGCCACAGGCTATTGCTGCTGCTTTTTGCTATAAATAACAACAGTGTAAATTCACGGGGACCCTAGCGGCGCTTTTTGCAGAGTCAAAATAATGAAAATAGGGTTGATTCGATGTTTGAAAATGTAATGCACATAGTTAACAAATACTCTCAGGTTATTTCAAAGACATTTTGTTGATGGGCAGAAAGCTAAATTCCTGATATTTGCCGTTATCAATATTTCTCGCTTCATGAATATTCATTAAATTACGCCGACTGACAACTAATTCGTACATAGACCGACTCGTATGCTATATTCGTATGCAAACTACAGAAGAGGCTTTTTTTTAACGTTGTGTTAATGTGAAATTTAAATAATATTTATTAATAGTCAGAATATTTAAGGGGAAAATATTTGAGAATAATGGTTTCACATTTTAACTTTAAAATCAAATAATTATAATTGCTAAACACACGCACGATGGTTTCTTTGTCACATGTATGCGACAAAGAGTAATTACGAGACGTTCCTTAATACTCCCTAATTATGAGATACTCCATGCTAGGAAAGCGTCGATCTCCAAATTTCTCCATACCTAAAGTACACGGCACATTCCTTATTCCGGAATTGCATGTTTTATAAATGTTTTATTTAAAACATTTTGTGGAATTTTTATACCATAAAACTTTCAAAGTTAACTGTAATTTTACGATGTCTTTTGATTGTTTGAATTTCTAATATCTATTGACGATAATATATTAGAAATATATATTTTCGGAAAGAAAAAAAAAGATCACGACATCTTATCGATAATCAGTTAATAAAAGAGTTGTTGGAGGCAGATACGATGCCATAAAATTTGCAAAAGGACAAGATAGGCTTTTGGTCCCTGGTTTTGGGTGTCTTTTAGAATGATACAACAGTTTATCAATAAAAACCTCTTGTCACCCCTGCAACAAATTGAGTATTGGTTCTAAATTACGGGATACACAAAGGTCACAGGAAGGTCAGAAAAATATGTAAATTTCCGAATTTTCTAATTTTTATGCAATTTTTTGTCGATTTTACCGCACGTTTTGTTCCAGAAAACATAAAGCACAAGCTTGCCTATCTACAAAATTTATATATTTCATGCACTAGTATCAGGTGCTTCTTGTGTATGAAAATCTCAGATAGGCAAGCTTGTGCTGTATGTTTCCTGAAATGAAAAGTATCTCAAATTTGACAAAATTCTACCAGAACTGAGAAAATTCGGGAAAATGTCCCACTTCTGCATCCTCTTGTGGACTCTGTATAAGCCTTGCATCAAAATTAGGGCTGGTTTTCAAACAAGCATTATTTTAAGTTCCTAACTAGAAACTATCACCGTTTTAACCGTGTTCTGATTTTAACACCAAATAAGGGGCCAGATTCGCCCATTACCATACCTTTGTGCGATGACTAGCAGCAATAAGCAGGGTCAGTGCATATTAAGATTACGTATGAGAAATAGCATCGTCACAAACCTCGGCTAAAATTTACGATCTCCTCCCATTCTGAAGAGAGCTATATGCGGACTCCGAACCGTGGCTTGAGACGATGGAGAAATAGAGGCTGACAAATATTTTGTTTTTCTGTTCTTCTTTTTTTTCTTTTCGAACAGTATATATCAAACAAAGAAGTAAGACTTCTGTACAATTCCTGGAGTCTTTCAAGCTTTTAGAAATAAGTTAATTACAGCCAGGGAATTTGGCAAAGATGGGAATCCAAGGATAAAGTCTATTTCATTATCTTTCAGTATATGATTTATGTCGCACAATCTACAGTACATGGCCAAAAGTGATTCATCATTTCCCTTTTTACCATATACTTTATGAAAAGTAAGTTTTTGTTAAAAAATATTCTGGGTTCAATAATATAAAGAGATTAATATACAGAATGTAATTAAAATGTAATTGTCATTTCTGATATTTTGTGAAAGTAATGCATTATATTACATTTACTTTTTATTAAGAGATGGATCCATTACAAATTACGTCCAGTTATTATTGTTATATCTTATCCGGAATTGAAGTACTTTACATGATTGGTTTTTATACTATATTTTGTGACCTAATTACTTTTGCGTAGTGATTTAATAAAAGAGTTCGGATTCAGCCATCTCGTGTTATAATACACATGTTTGCTACTCTACTATACAACAACTGGCGACGAGGATTAAAACGGGTGTGACTAGCCATCGCATTGATTATCGGAAAAGTGGGTCCTTTCGATGAATCATTGGAAACGTGGGAGTCGTATACGAAACTTCTGGGCCAGTATTTCATTGCAAACGATGTGCACGAGGACTTGAAGGAACCCTCACTTCTTTCTATCATCGGCCCAAAACACTACACATTGTTGGAAAATCTATGTGCACCCACAAAACCCTCAACTATGACATTTGCTGAACTCATTCAGAAACTTACAGAACATTTAAGTCCCAAACCCTCAGAAATTGCTGAGCGTTTTCGTTTTCACAAACGAGATCAGGCTGCAGGGGAAAGCGGGACAGCTTACATTGCTGAATTACGTCGTTTAGCGATACATTGCAATTTCGGTGATTCGTTGAGTAAGACTTTGAGAGACAGATTTGTATGTGGCTTAAAGCAGGAACACATTCAAAAGCGACTGCTCGCCGAATCATATTTGGATTTAGAGAAAGTCATTCAGACAGCCGTCGCAATGGAAACAGCTAGTCGTGACGCACTCGAATTACAAGGAAAACGGGAAAGTGTAAATAAACTTTCTGTACACAAAACAAACAGTAACTATGGTAAAACTGGTAAAACGAACCCGAAAGTACCACACAAACCAGGAATGAAAGGGAAATGTTACAGGTGCGGGGGTGACCATAGAGCAAACACATGTAAGCACACAAAAACAAAATTTAGATATTGTCACAAAGTGGGGCACTTGGAGAGGGTGTGTCTGAAGAAAAAACGCGAACATGGTGGAAATCTTTATTACTTTGATACAGATGAAAACGGAATTGATGACTATAATGGTGGTTATCTGCTGCATTTCTAATACTACTGCAGGGATGTGAACAAAATCTCAATAGACCCAATCATTGTGACACCGAGAATTTCTGGATCAGACATTCCTATGGAAGGTGACACTGGGTCAGCTGTTTCGATTATTTCACAGACTACGTTGGACAAATTTCTTTAGACATACACCCTGGAGGATACAGATACTCGGTTAAAGACATACAGTGGGGAGCAGATCCGTCCAGTTGGTAAAATGTTGGTCAAGGTCGATTTGAATGGAAAGAGTGAAAATTTGGACTTACTCGTGGCGAAACAGGAGGGACCAACCCTCATATGACAAAACTGGTTGGAATTTCTACGACTTGATTGGAAGGAAATCAAATCAATCAGACTATCTAATGACAAACAGAACATTTCTGGGAAAATGACTGTCCAGGAAATTCTGGAGAAACATAAGAAAGTGTTTGAAACAGGAATCGGGAAACTGACAGACATCAAAGGAAAACTTACCATGCAGGATGGTGTTCGACCAAAATTTTACAAGGCCAGAGAAGTTGCATATTCACTCAGACTTCGGGTAGAAGAGGAACTCGATCGATTACAGCATGAAGGTGTCATTTCACCTATTGGATTTAGTGACTGGGGCAACCCCAATAGTACCCTTACCCAAGGCAAACGGCAAAGTGAGAATTTGTGGTGATTACAAGGTGACAGTTAATCCCGCTATGAAAATCGAACAATATCCGTTACCAAAAATAGCAAATATCTTTGCGTCTCTTAGCGGAGGACAGAAATTTAGCAAAATTGACTTGACGCAGGCGTACTTGCAGATGGAAGTTGATGACGCGTCAAAGAACTTACTTACCATTAACACTCACAAGGGACTTTTCCGCTTTAATCGACTTCCCTTCGGAATCGCTTCCGCTCCTGCTATCTGGCAAAGAGCGATGGACCAAGTCCTTGCAAACATTCCAAAGCTAAATGCATTTTGGATGACATGATTATTACAGACTCGACGGATGAAGAACACTTACAGAATCTCAGTCTTGTGCTCGAGAGACTCGAACAAAATGGGTTAAGGGCAAATTTGGAAAAGTGTGAATTCTTTAAGGACAAAATTAGTTACTGCGGGCATGTAATAGACAAAGATGGTTTACATAAATCCAGTGACAAAATAAATGCTGTCAAGAATGCACCAAAACCTGAAAATGTGTCTCAACTGCGCTCATTCTTAGGCCTTTTGAATTATTACCATAGGTTTTCGCCAAACCTTGATACAGTGGTTGGACCGCTAAATGAGCTGTTACAGAACAACAGAAAGTGGAATTGGACATCCAAATGTGAAGGATCATTTGTGAAAGTGAAAGAACTTATAACATCAGAACAAGTTTTGTGCCACTGCAATCCTTATTTACCAGTTTGTTTAGCTACGGATGCATCATCATACGGGATTGGTGCCATACTTTCACATGACTTTGAGGATGGAGCTAAACGTCCCATGGAATTTGCTTCTCGCTCTTTGACAAAGGCAGAAAAGGGATATTCCCAGATAGATAAAGAGGCATTAGGTATATACTGGGGAGTAAAAAAATTCCATAACTACCTCTACGGACGCCGGTTTACACTGATTACGGATCACAAGCCGCCCGTTAGTATTTTTCACCCAAAGAAGTCACTACCCACCATGACTACTGCTAGACTCCAGCGATATGCTATATTCCTATCTAGTTACAGCATAGAGTACCGGAAGACTGCTAACCACGGAAATGCTGACGGACTCTCCAGACTACCACTGACTTCATCGACTACAGATACCACAGATGATGATATTGACACAATCTACTACTCTTCACAGTTCGAAAGCTTACCGGGATCATGTGACCATGTGAGAAAAGAGACTCAACGTGATCCTATTTTATCTCAGGTGCTTGGCATTGTGTTGCATGGTACAGGGGACTTTCCTGCAGGGAATGAATTCAAACCTTACAGAAATAGACGTAATGAACTCACAGTGCACCAAAATTGTCTACTTTGGGGAAACAGAGTTATCATTCCTACAGCACTACAAAGAGAAGTTTTGTCTGAACTTCATAGAAGTCACACAGGAATTGTGAGGACAAGGAGTCTTGCAAGATCTCATGTTTGGTGGCCAAACATAGATACTGATATAGAGGCTATGTGTCAAAGTTGTTCAGATTGTCAACATTATTTACCAAAACCGGAGCCTGCTCTTGTGCACCTTTGGGAATGGACCAATTTACCATGGGAGAGAATTCATGTAGACTTTGCTGGACCATTTAAAGGACGCATGTACGTCATTGCTGTTGACTCTCATTCCAAGTGGCTGGAAGTTGTGCCTATGTCTTCAACAACATCTACAGCAAAAGTCAACATCTTACGAGATATCTTTTCACGTCTTGGACTACCTAGTACATTTGTTTCCGACAACGGACCACAATTCATTGCAGATGAATTCAAGGCTTCTCTGCGACAGAATGGAGTTAAACATGTGACATCATCACCCTATCACCTACGTACAAATGGACTCGCTGAACGCATTGTTAGGAGTTTCAAAACTGCCATGAAGAAGTACAACAAAGTAACTAACAAAGAAATAAACTCTTTCCTCATGACTTATCGCATTACTCCACATGCTACTACAGGGAAGACACCTGCGAAATTACTTATTGGACGTAACCTAAGAACACGCTTGGATCTACTAAAACCTGACACCAGTGACAGAGTACGTCAGAAACAGGACAACATGAAACTTTCAAGACATACAGGATCCAACGTGCGCATTTTTACCAACGGACAATCTGTCATGGTAAGGGATACTGAGGACAAACACCGTGGATTTATGCTACTGTTATAGCCGGTCTAGGACCGTTGACTTACCAAGTCAAAACAGATGAAGGAGGAGTGTGGCGTCGTCATGTGGATCAAATGAGGAAAACTTCGGAAAACATGACGGAGAGAACAGTTACAGACATTTTTGACCCTAACACAGTGGTCCCGAATGAGGTATACTCTGCACCACATACAAACAACGCCATTTTACCTGGAACTCCGGCAATTCCAAGTTGTGAAACAAAAAGTACCGATCGTAACATATCTAGCACAGACCGTTTCACACGAGGCAAACCTCAAGTCTTACCAAGACAAACTGTACAGACACCATCACCTTGTGAACGACGTTACCCTGTGCGCGATCGAAAACCAACGAAGCGATTAATTGCCGAGTGATTCTAATTCAGATTTGTGTTGATTGTGTCTTGAGGCATAATAACCCTCACCATGTGAATAATTGTAATTACATAAATTTTCTGTAATGATTTCATAAGTCAATTATATGTTTGATTGTTAATTAATTTGATAAAGGTGATTAGGACATTTGCAGGAATTATAGACAGTGACATTAAGGGGGGAGGATATGTTGTATTTTATCCGGAATTGTAGTACTTTACATGATTGGTTTTTATACTATATTTTGTGACCTAATTACTTTTGCGTAGTGATTTAATAAAAGAGTTCGGATTCAGCCATCTTGTGTTATAATGCACATGTTTGCTACTCTACTATACAACAACTATAAAAAAAATGTAATGATGACAGTGTATTACTATTACACATTACCTTTACCCCACACCTGGTATCAACAAAAATATGAAGGCTACTGTCAACAGTGTGAAATTCCTGTCTGTATGAAATGAGTCATCTCTTCCCATAATGAACTCAATGTTATAGCCATGACAAACATCTTCAATGGCAAGATAAAGGAAATCCCAAAGGAACACAAGAAATTGAATCCAGTATTATTCTAAATGTGCGATGAAAAATGAAGATATTCAAGAAGACTTAAACCAAAATATGGAAAAAATAATAAGGAAACGTAGGAGCACAGAAAAGTTATAGACAAATAATTAGACATCATCTACAATAAACTGAGCTCTATGATCCAACCCACCAAAGATGATCAACTGGCTGTACTGAAATTACACCAAAAGAATCGGGAACCTAGGTTGCAGATATGAACCGAAATGTACAGCAACAAAACAAGGAAATGCTGAATTTTAAAAAAAGGGACCTAAGTCGTCAAATACAAATTTAAGTTGAAGAGAACAGACATTCTTGTGGATATTGATGTGTCGATACCTTTGCCAAAAATTTACACCGTTCGAGCGTTCTTTTAAAATAAACACTAAAAAGACATATCATATTTATTTAAGACATCCGGAGAACTGCCTGGGGTTGACAGGTAAGATATGTTAGCAAGAGAAATGCCGAGATCGTCATATTTTGTGCTCATACTAGGCTGATAACCAGTTTACAAATTATCAACCAGAATAAATAATATAAAAAATAAGAATTGAAAAGATAATCAACAACTTGCCTCCTAATAATACATTGGGAACCTTTCCTTCTTGAATTATTTTCTCTTTTATTAAGGGGGAAATTGGTAGAACTACGTATTTATCAGCTATAATTGATTTAATCAAATACAAAAGAAGTTAAAATATCCTATTCATTTTAAACCTTTCATATGTTAAAATTTGTACGCTAGAAGATACGTCCCATCAAATGAATCAGATTATTCGTGAGTAGATTAATCTTTGAGGTGGTGGGGGTCTCAATCCCCTGGCCTCCTATACGACTGGACTGTCTGTCGATTATATAAATATTCAAAATAACATCAGCTGAAACTTTTATTATCATTCGACATTGTTCAGATGTAAAATTAATTTTGAAACGTAGATATTTACATAAACACTGTAATTATGTCACTATGCCAGTTTCTTGTATTAGCAATTTTTTTTTATTAGAGATTGAAGTTTCGACAATCAAGCAATATAATGGCTACAGATATTTCGATTTCCTGTGCTCAAAGAGTCTTCACACGTGAACTTCATGACAACCCTATTCAGAATTTCTGCAATAGAAGTCAAGTCTTTTTATGTAAAAAATGTATTACAAAATATATTTAAAAACCACAGGTCATTAACCCGGCCATGATATAATTCCATTCAAGGAGATAAAGATACTAATTGTTCTGTCGGAGTGCAAATTGCACCTCAGCCATAAGTTTGAGGGCCACTGTCAACAATGTGACGTCCCTGTGCGCATGAAATGTGTCATCACTTCCCATGATCGACAAAACGTTATAGACATAACAAACATTTCAATTTCAAGAAAACGGAAATTCGGAAGGAAACTCACGAAAAGGAATACAATATTATTTCCAAATGCACGAAGAAAAATGAAGGTATAGAACGAGACACATCCAAATTTATTGAACAATAAAGAAAGAAAAAAAATCACAGAAAGCTTTGGCATGTAGAAATAGTGAGCATCTTTAATAAGCTGAGCTCTATAGTCCAATCCATGAAAGATAAATAGCTAAATGTACTGAAATCACACCAATCTAAACTCAGAAACCTGATTTCAGACATGATTAAAACCGTTGAAGAAAACAAGAAAATGCTTGTCTGAAGTCACTAACTACAAATTTAAAGTGGAAGAGTACAGAGACGTCCCTGAAAATATTGATGTATCGATTCCTTTACTGAAAACTAACACAGTTGAAGGATACCAACTTAGTACAGAGCTAGGAGAAAAAAGGCTTCACTGAAACAAACGTCTACGACGGAGTTATTATACCAAGCCAAAGTTATTGCAACATTTCCTTCTGGAAAGAAATCTCTGTTCAGAGTGTTTGTGTTCGAGCTGATAAAGCTTGGGTTACTGAAAAAAGGCAAACCCATACGATATGTCGGCATATAGGGATCTGGAAATGATACTGTTACACCGACTTTAACCTTTCCTGATGATAGTTCAGTGCCCAAAGACGAAAAACTGATATGTATATCAGTGAGCAGACAGGGCGAACTGACCCTAACAAAAAATACTATAGTAAATTATTGTTAACTATAGTTTACTATAGTTAACAATAGTTAATCAAATTCAAAGTTTTTACTATAGTTAATCAAAGTTCTAAAGTTTTTACTATAGTTAATCAAAGTTCCAAAGTTTTTACTATAGTTAATCAAAGTTTCAGTTTCACTACTGTAAATCAAAGTTCCAAAGTTTTCACAATAGTTTATCCGGCCGGAACCTTAAAATCAGAATATTGGTTCCGGGTTTTACTGAGTTGGTTCCGGGCATGACTTCAATCTTTGAGTCACGGTATCTGTCAATTATCTGCCAATTTTCATTCTACATTGAACCATGGAAGTAAGAGGTTCTAGCATGTCATTTTCATGTGGCGCAACGTTCTTTTTATACAGCTTCATTTCCTTTTAATGCAGCCTTTTATAAATATAAATGAATAAATAGCCTAATTAAAAGTGGTAAAATGCGCTTTCTGATACATGTACACCAAACAAAATTTGGTCGCTTTTCCTTTGTTTATCTAATGCATACAAAAACAAGCGCCTTCGTTTAATTATTGCATGCCAAGTGTGAATTTCTCGCTTAAATGCACACATACCCGGTATTTAACAGGTGTTTAACCTCCAACAATAAACAGTTAAAGAGGATAGAAGATAAACTAGACTGAGATTACAAAAACCTTAATCATTAAATTTTTATATTATAATGTGATAAAGAAAAAAAAAAGTAATGGTATGAATTTACAAAGATATATTCTGTGTTCAAATGATATTACACGTGTTGCAAATTCCACAATGTAGAGCCTTAAATACATTGCTTCCTTTCTTCGTAGAAAGTATCACTAAAATGGCATGAAAATTTATTTATTTCATTAGAAATAAACACAAATTTTATATATATATATATATATATATATATATATATATATATATATATATATATATATATATATATATATATATATATATATATATATATATATATATATATATATATATATATATATATATATATATATATATATATATATATATATATATATATATATATATATATATATATATATATATATATATATATATATATATATATATATATATATATATATATATACATATACACACACACACACACACACACACACACACACACACACACACACACACACATTCACACACACACACACACACACACACACACACACACACATATATATATATATATATATATATATATATATATATATATATATATATATATATATATATATATATATATATATATCACTGATGTAGATAATTATGTGGTTTATTCTGTTATAAATTAACTATGGATAATTCATAAAACATGATGATATGGTTTATTCCCTCATAAATATACAAATACGAATAACTAATGAAAATCTGGTGTTTTTAAGACCGTAGGAAGAAAAAACATGGTTGAAATATGAAAAGTGAAGACCAGGTCTATTGATTGTGAAAACAGCAGAGAGCTAAACGGGATTGGCTCCAATATTTTAACAAGATCAAGGTTTTAACAAATTTTAAATGTGATTTTTTTTTGTTTTAATGGTTTTTATTGTAGAGGCCTTGAAATACACTTTACTGTAAGTTCGAGGCATGTCCTACCCAGCCATCCATTAGAATATGACGGAAAAAATATTTCATTTCACGGTGTTTTCATAGAAAATGTACAATAAAGAGGGTATGAATATGACAATTTTTTATGAACTATTAAACTTTATCGTTTTTTACATACCCTTACGTTTTATGAATATCAATATTTCTGAAAGAAAAATTCAAAAACATACACGTAGATAAAAGACATACTGCAATAACGTAGCCCCCTCCGTTTTTCTTTACCTGAGCCCCCCCTCCCCCCCCCCCCCGCCCCCCTTGAAAAAGTGGAGGGGTTTATATTATAACAGCTGCAAAATGGAAAAGTGTTAATTTTTTAATCATATGGAAATTTAAAAAAAACGGAATAAAGGGGATGAAAGTTTGTTCAAATGAAGGGCTGTGTCCTATTTTAAGGGTAGGCGAAAATAGTGAAAAGGGGGAGTTTCGATAAGGCCGCTCAGCGGCCCACTATTTTTCATAAAAATAAATTTCAATTTATTTTTTCAAAACTAGTTTAGAATTCAAGATAAATATGTTAACTTTTGTTATTTATATTTCAAAAGTTAATATGAGATGAATTCACGCCGTAGCTGATACATACGAAGATGTACCCTCAGATCCGTTAACATTAGGCTTATGGGAAAATATAAGAGGGTGGCATTTATAAATTGATATTTAGAATATGAAGTACATGAGGGACACTCACCTAAATTAGTTCAGTAATTAGATATACTTTGCACACTAATTTCTTGAAATATGATGAGTGTCACGTGTGCACTTCATATAAAAAAATTGAAAATTGCATACAATTTGCATATCTAAAATTAGAAGCTCCTGGTTTCTTGATCTGACTCTGTGTTAAAATACTAAGCCAAAAGTAGCTTTTTTTTAAAACAAAGAAGATTCTCGATTATATTGACAGTAGAAAACATTACCGCATCCTAACTTCATTTCGATACTTTTTATGTCGCCAACGTATAACGTTAACGTCACATTTTTAGCTCACCTCCACGAAGTTTGGAGAGCTTTTGTAATACCGTCGGCATCGGTGTTCCTGGTAAAAGTTTTTGAAGCAGATTTTTTTTTCAAGTATATCTATGCCCTTCATTAATCAGAGTCACAAGATCTAGCGTGTTTCCTTGTCACCAGTCAGGTTTCAGATGCTGCATTTTTAGCCAAAGAATGTTTTAAAAGCAGATTTAAGTTTTTAGAGCAGAGCAGCTGTAAGCACTTGTTGATCAGACTTGCATCATGATGCATCTACGGATGCACACTACCAGACTTGCTTCAGATGCTGGATCTGACCTACATTTCCTGAATGAGTGAGCAGGTTAAAAATTTTGAAGCGGGTCTCATTCTTATGTAACTATAACCCCTATCGTGAACAAACTTGTACTGATGATGCATCTAGGATTGCACACTACCAGACATCGTTCAGATGCTGGATCTTTCTTACATTTTTCGACTGACTGTAGAAAAAATAAGGTTTAGAGCAAGTCCATTCCTTATCGTTATTTATCATGCATAGTTATACTTTTGACCTTTCTTGTAAATAGAAATCCACGCGCCAACATGCGAGAGAAGCGTCTTATATTTCCGTGTGGTTGATATAGGGAACATGGATTGTTTTAATTAAGTCTGGATGTCTAGGTGCATATGTCTGCATATGATTAAGGATTAAACATCTTTGGCGTTTACACATGTATTTCGAACTGCGCTCTGGACTACAACTTCTGTTTGTAGTCAAATCTGGGAGTTTCATGCCTTATTAGCAAAGATCAAATCTACACTTTATACAAAAATTCAATTCATAAAGTCTTCACTTCATAACTTAAAATTTATGATTTATTAGATTACATGTCTACACCACAAGAAACTTATTTGGCGGCTTCTAGTTATTTATGTGGCGGCCGCCAGATAAGTTTCTGGCCGCCGCCAGTTATTTATGTGGTGGCCGCAAAAAAAAATATTTTGCAGCCGCCAGATGTATTTTTCTAGCCGAATAATTATGTGGCGGCCGCCAGATAAAATATTTTTATTTTTCTTACCTTGCACCTACAATGTACATGTACCGGCTTACGTACATGTAGCAATATGATGCTTTTAAAAAAAGCTTTTATTTATGCATATATGTAAAGTTGCATTTATTTTTTAATCGTGCCGAATTTTTCTTTTTATTTCAAAACATTTTTTTTTCATTTCAATTTGATGATATTAAGGTATATTTTTATAAAACATGTAGTTGTATAACCTCATTAATGAAAATGTATTGCATATATCTTTCTATGACGTTTTTACGTTTACCTATCTCATGCCTACATATCTTTTCATTTGCATTTTTCGTATGTGAAAATGTTAAATATTGATTATAAAGTTTATGTATGAACTGTCGATTAATTATGATGTTTAAACTTCCTGTGTATGTTTACCTTTTATAAGTTAAATTCATTCTCTTTAAAAGAAAAGTAACATTTAACACACCAGAAAAATATCGCACCTTAAAAAACATTTGCATAAAACCAATACCATTTTCCTGTTAAAAAATGTTGAAATTGGTTAATTTATGTTTCTGTTAATATTTATCCTATTTCATTTACGATTTTGACGGTTAAAAAAATCAACTTTCCCCTATAAAAATGTCTACTCCAACAATATACGAAAGGGGGTATACTTAAATTCTCAATTATCACGTGACCGGAAAATGCGCAACACAAATTATTTTGATATTTTTAGGAAAATAAGAAGTTTTTCTACAAAATTTCATGAAATTTCGTGAGGGGCCGAAAAACGGCCTTATCGAAACTCCCCCTTTGTTGAGCTTATTTGCGTTGCACAATTGTCGATTTTCTGAAGCCAACAATTACCTGGGACTGCTATTGTCTTATATGGTCTACCTGAGCTCTGTGTGCACTGAAGCGATGTGAAATTTCGTTCGCACGTGCGCAACTAAAAAAGCAAACAAGGTGACAGAGAAAACACAACTCTTTTGACCTCTTTAGAAAAAATATGTTGAAAATGTTACAATTCCGGAATTTGACGATCGCCAAGTCAATTTAAAATTCCCATGAGTACCAATTGCGCCCCGTTATTAGCAGACCTTTTTTTGTATTCATATGAAGAAGAATTTGTCCAAAATCTTGCACGTGAAAAGAAGAAAACACTTGCTGTGGCCTTCAACTCGACATTTAGATATATCGACGATGTATTGTCAATTTACAATGGCTATTTTCATTCTTATGTCGATACGATATATCCTGGTGAGCTTGAGATAAAAGATACCACAGAATCTGACACATCTGTTTCATATTTGGATATTTTACTTGAAAAAGACGTTAATGGTAATCTAACAACCAAGATTTATGATAAACGTGATGACTTTAACTTTTCAATCGTCAACTTCCCTTACTTATGCAGCAATATACCTTCATCACCTGCATACGGGGTATATATCTCTCACTTGATTCAATACGAAAGAGCATGCTCTACGTATGAACAATTTCTTAAACGAGGTAAATTATTGACAAACAAGTTGATGAAACAAGAATGTCAGCTGTCTCATTTAAAGTCATCATTTCGTAAGTTCTATGGTCGATACAATGACCTTGTCAGCAAATACAATTTATCACTGAGTCAAATGCTGACTGATGTTTTTCATACTAATTGTTAGGCCATTATTTACACATTGAATTGTCGACGGATTTTTCCGTTATTTCCCGATCATGACAATGAGCACACGGCGGGTGTGACCGGTCGGCAGGGGATGCTCACTCCTCCATGGCACCTGATCCCACCTCTGATGTTTAGAGGTCCGTGTTTGCTCTGCTCCTATTTTGTATTGTTAAATGGACTTTTGAGCTTGAATACTGTTCGTTATCTCCATATATTTCATGGTCGTCAATTTGGCGACTTATAAAGAAGTTTTAGGCGCCAATCAAAATCTTTAGGCGCCATGGCGACTAAAGTAGTTGCCAATTAGAACCTTGCCATTATGGTAATAATTAATGTTCCGAATTGCAGTTACTAAGAGTTACATGTTACTAGGTTGTTTCTTTTTACACTTTATAAAGAGGATAAAGTAACCCGAAACAAAAATATGATTATAATTAAAGTTCCTAGTTACAGTTCCTGGAAGTAATTTCAAACTATTTGTTAATTCTTGTTTTTTTCCCTACTTTGTAACGAAGAAGAAGTAGCCCGGAACCAAAATTATGGTCATAATTAGCGTTCTGGCAATCTCCTATGCAGAGTTGTCGTTCGTTCCTCTCTCAGACACCTCTGCAATGGGCTAGCGTCAAGATTTTTGACATAAGGTTAAAAACATTATATTCCTAGGATCATTTCAAATTAAACTAACATTTCTAGATATACTTAGCAAATATCTATCTTAAAAGACAAACATTAGTGCAGGAATTTAATTATAATGAATTAAAACAAAGGCACTATTTCTCGTGCTTTTCACTGTGATATACGCGAGCCAACGACAGAGGTGAATGTATGAGCCGATGGTAGAGAGTGGCGTTCTGGGTAACAATTGACGAGAGAAATTTCAAACTATTTGTTACTTTCTTGTTTTTTTTTTTCAGCCAGCAATTCTGTAACAACTATCAAGTCAATTTACGTGAAAAATTATGAGTAAACATGTCAAAAAGCACAAGTCATTAAACCATGACATTGTTACTTTCAAGAACAGAAAGATGCAGCTTCTTTTTCCAGAGTGTGAATTTCACCCCCATCAGAGATGTGAGGCCCACTGTCAGGAATGTGATTTGCCAGTCTGCGTGAAATGTGTTATCACTTTCCATAATGGACACAAAATAAAAGACATAACAAAAACCTTCAATGACAAGAAATTGGAAATTCAAAGGGAAACTCATGAATTGGATTCTAGTATTATACTTGATTCTAGACATGATCCAAACTATTAAACAAAACAAAGAAATTCTCAAGTCCAATAAAGTTGATGAAGTCACAAACTATAAATCTATACTAATGGAGTACAGGAAAATTTGTGCTGACAATGATTTGTCAGTTCTTGTTCTGCAAACTAACACAGAAAAGGGGAGAGAACTCAGTATAGAGCTCGGAGAATATAAGGCTACTATGACACAGACATCACTCTCCAACCTGACTGAAGACGTCACCTATTTATCTATGAGAGATTTATTAAAGAAAGCAAGAGTTATTGCCACTATACCTACTGGCGTTAAACCTCTGTTCAGAGTAGCCTGTGTGGGATCTGATAAAGCTTGGGTCAGTGGAGAAGACACAACCATAAGATGTGTAAACATACACGGATCTGTACAGGAGAATGTTAGATGTGTCATAAGCCCTGATGATATCTCTGTTATCAGAGAGGGATATCTGATATACAGTGATGATAAAATTGGAACTGTTAATATTGTCAGACACGGGAGATCCGATGTACTAATCACTACACGTGAGGGTTGGAAACCATCAGGACTGTGCTGCACAAGATCAGGAGACATACTGGTCAATGTGAATAATGGAAAACAAAATAAGATTGTCCAATATCAAGGACAGGGAATGAAACAGCCTGAGAAAATATTTAAAGATGAAAATGGAAAACCAATTTATGCAAGTGGTCAATGGATATTATACTTTGCAGAGAACAACAATGGAGACATGTGCGTCTTTGATATGAATGCAAATGCCGTAGTAGTGGTGGACAAGACAGAAGAACTACGATTCCGGCACTATGGGTTCCCAGCCATGAAGAAGTGGTCATTTAATCCAAGACAAATTGAGACAGGCTCAATGAATCAGATTATCGTTGCAGATTACAGCAATGATTGTTTGCACATTCTTGATCAAGACGGACAGTTCCTGAGATATGTGGGTGATATCTAAGCCCTGTGGACTGAGTGTGGATAGTGAGGGGAGATTGTGTGTGGTATTAAGTAATAAAGGAGAAGTAAAGGTTATTCAGCACTTGAAATTAGACATATGATGTAAAATTGTGTAAAATGTTATAAATAATTCCTTGATCATAATACATCATGTAATAAAATTTCTTACGTTAACAAATTTTTTTTACATATTCACTTTTTGACAATCAAAAACGAGTCCAAATTTACATGTACCAAATTTCTTAAAAGTTATGGAAAATAAGGAGAGTGTTACAGTAACTTTCAATGGAGACAAGTACCTTATCATTTTGGATCTGCTAGAGAGGAAACTTCTCTTTAAAAAACGCAATAAAAGAAGACATGGATCAATTCATAAAAGATAAGTCTAGCTGTCACAATTACCATTTATGAGACAGCAATTATATACATAATATACAAGGATATTACTTGTTGAATGAAGAATTACTCAAGGATTTGAAAACCACGGATGGATACTTTGAGACGAGGTGTAAGACGATAGAGGAAACATTTCCTCAACTCCTAAAGCTATAGCATTACAAAGTGATAAATATACTTCAAAATAAAATTGCTATCAGTGCATTAACAGTGCAGAACTCATCAATGAGCTTTCAGATACGGTACAACTTCTGTCATAAGAAGTCAGTTACCCTAAACAAGTACATGCAACAAAAATGGGTCACATTGCTCTTACAAGAGAACCCAGACAGTTCCAAAACAGGACAAAACAAAAGGAGACTTCAACAGAGGGACTTGAATTTACGGGAACTGGTGTATCAAGGCATGCATAGACAATTTGAGCTTAAAGCTCCAATAATCTGCAGCAGTACTATGACAGCTACCAGCGAGACTCCAGATATCAAGAGCTTTCCTACTTAACATGGTCAAACAAATTTCACGCGTGGAAAAAATCAACCTGGAAAGAAACCAAAGGATAAACCTATCCTCACAATTGGAGCTCAATTCTAAAAAGGATCCGCACTTAATGATTGCATCCAACTGTACAGGTCCGGAGAGATAGAGGGGGACCATCTTCAATACACGGGCTAAACTCTCAAAAATGGATATAGCCTCAGAGTATTGTAATTTTGGCTGGAGGAATTGATGCATCAAGAAAACGAGACACAGAAGCCATTCAACATGATTTTGCTGAAGTAATCGTAGATTTCCAAAATCGGAATTCCAGTGTCCGTGTGTTCATTTCAGAAGCATTAGCAAGACGTGATAGGGATACCAGTGATGTTAATGAAATTGTTTAAAATGTATGTGAAATGTATGGTGGTACATTGATCCCAACTTCAAAATTACACGGAAAATTTTGGCATCAGAAGGTGGACTTCAACTTCTATAATCTCAGTTCTCTGACCAAATCCATGATGGATGTGCACCTGTATACTAAGTTCCCACCATTATAAACCTAGAAACTGATTATAAACATGATCAAAACAGTTCAACAATGAAAGGAAATGCTAAAGTCCAACAAAGGGCAATCTAAATATTGGAGAACAGGAATATACCTGCAGACATTGAAGTCAGTTCCTTTAAAAAGGACTAACAAAGTCTAAGAGGAGTAACTCAGTAGAGATATGGGGAAACAAGGGTATTCTGTTATGAGTCTTCTATTTCTCAACAAAGGATTTAATAGATTAGGAAATAGTTTAATGCAAGCCTACACTGAAATTTGAAATACCAAACGTTCACTTTCTGTTTGAGAATTTTCTGCAAACAAGTGCATTGTGATTAGTCTGATAACAGTTTTAATTTTGACGAAATTTCATTCTACGTGCGACTATATTCAACCAAAATGAAGGGGAGAAAAATGGGGAGAAAAAATAAGAAAGCCTCTACACTGTCACTTCATTATCAGTCTTTGAAGAGTGCATAATTTTTTAAAAGTATTCCTTCATCAGACATACTGTTGCATTCCATTTCCATTTCATACTGTTTCTCAGACATGCAATATACTTTTTCTTTCTAGGAAGAGAAAAAAAAAAAATGAAGCATTTCACTCAAAAGCTTTTCTTATTTTTAACACATGGGTATTTCAAACTACTTTCCTAGTTTATCATATCAACATTCTTTCTGCACGTTCAGAGTGGATTCGGTGGTACTGGATTAAGTTATTGGGTATTTCACCGAATCATCCCTTCTACTTGGAAATTATTTATGACCCTATATATATATATATATATATATATATATATATATATATATATATATATATATATATATATATATATATATATACAATGTATATTAAAAATTGTGAAGAAAAACAAACCTCATTGATGTAAATTGTCAAATGAAATGTCTCTAATTTAATAAATTGTAAAACTAAAACTGAGATTTTAATTAAAGAAAGGACTTGGAGGAAAATAGCTATGGACGCTTTGAAAATGGGTTAAGCTTCTGTATAGCAGAAATTTTAGTGTACATAAAGTGTTGCATAAAGCTTGGCAGCACTACAATATATCGATTTAATTAAAAAAAAACGAGTGAAAAGAACCATACTTTCAACTGCTGGAAAAACACACAGTAGAAAAAGAACGCAAACAGCACTTAACAGAACACAATTAAGGAGAGATTATACGTGTACATATACAGATATGCTAAAAATGTTGTATTTAAACGGCTTCATGCAGAGTGTGCAGTTCAATCAACAGAACATTTGGTTCATGAGTGCAAATGATACAGTATGCCCGATGACCAAAGTCATTTATAATTGCAAGGTAAAAAAGTTTATTGTTTCTTGGTAACAAGTTGTGTAAATAGGGTCTTCAAGCTCAGCTTCTTTTCATTTTCCATGAAATTGAATTACCCGTATTTTTTTGTGAGAGTTTTTCCTACTTCAAAATAGAGGGTATATTATATACTGCTTATTATAGTCATACCCATAGGTTTTTTCTGCTAGACATATCTAGCATACCAAGAACTATGGAGATATCGATCAGTATTCAAGCTCATAGTCCATTTAAATAACACAAATCCTGAGCAGAGCAAACACTCACCTCCAAAAACATCAGAGGCGAGATCAGGTGCCATGGAGGAGTAAGCATCCACTGTCGACCGGTCACATCCGCCTTGTTCTCCTTGTCATAATCGAGTAAACGAAAAAATCGGTAGACAATACAGTGTGTCAATAATGGCCTAACAATTAGTAAGAAAAACGTTAGTCAGCAATTGACTCAATGATAGATTGTATTTGCTGATAAAGTCATTGTATTGACAATAGAACTTGCGAAATGATGACTTTAGACGAGACTGTTGATGTCCTTGTTTCATCAACTTCTTGGTTAATAGCTTGCCTCATTTTAAAAATTGATCGTACGTAAGCATGCTTTTGCGTATCGAATAAATGGGAGACATAGAAACCATATGCAGGTGATAAAGGTATATTACTACATAAGTAAGGGAAGTTGACGATAGAAAAGTTGAAGTAGTTATGTTTATCATAAAGTTTTGTAAGGTTCATTATTTACTGATCTTCTCACAACATACATATGTCTTTATTAAATCAATAGATTATGGACGTTTTGGTCATATGCCTAGCTCTCCCTTGAATCAGGAATGATGATATAAATATTTTTAGAATTAAAACAGGTCTTGCACAAATCCAAATATGAAACAAATGTGCCAGAATCTGTGGTGTCTTTTATTTCAAGTTCACTGGGATATATCGAATCGACATATGAATGGGAGAAACTATTGTTATAATTGATATATCTAACTGCTGCATGGTAAAGTTCGAATCGAGAAAATATTGGTTTCGACACCCACTACTATTGGTTTACATCAATGAGGCAGTATAGGTCAATTAAACGTTCACGCATGGTAGTGTATTTTTTTAAGACGTAATTATAAATGTTCAGTACGTTTTTAGACGGGGTCAGATGAGTTTACTGTCAGTTGAGGCCTCAAAACGGAAACCGTGCCAAGAACACATGAATTAAATATCAAATTAAAGAAATGTATTGAAAATTTAAAACGTGAAAAACATAATGCTTAATATTTACATTCAGTGTAATTTTCTTTATGAAATCCATTAGAAATCTACGATGTTCAAATCTCTATAACACATACGAAACCTTGTCACCGCGCGGTAGAATACACAGTAGGAACTATATGCATTTTCAATATCTAGCAACACCAAAATGTATATTGTTTTGACTCAATTTAATAAAAAAACAAAAAACAAACAAACAAAAAACAAATACCCTGTTGAAGTATTGTGAAATACAGAACTGTGCATTTGAAATTAATTTGTCTATTTCTCTCGCAACGTCACAAACAGCCCTTACATCTATTAAACACACCAGTTCTGAAAGGCGCTAAATTCATAATAAAGATTACGAAATAAACAATTATGAAGAGAGAAAATAAGAGAATGTAGATATAAGCACTGAATTCTTATTTCTGGATGTCGTCGGTCCTATAACACACATGGCCGTGTCGACAAATTATCATACCGCGCTATAACGTACAGTATTCAATTTGTTGGCGCGGCCAGGTGTTTATAGGACCGAAGACATCCTAAAATAAGAATTCAATGCTTAAATAAACCGCAGAAGGATAAAACGTACGCTCAACTAGGACCTTAGGTCACCAGCTCAGTTCACAACTATCAAACCTGTTTACTCCGCGACAAAATGTAGTGCATTGCAACTGTAAAGTGAAAATAGAATAAATCGCACTACTGTGAAGCCTTTACAGTGTAAAACAACAAACTGAAAATCTATTTTTGTCAAAGGAATAATCATCTGATATGAGGAAAGATACGGGGGGGGGGGGAGCAACATTGACTGCAATATTATAAAATATGATATAAGTTATACAGCTATGGATTACGTAGAGTGACCTGTGGTCTCCCTAATGATATTATTATTCCATGTAAGGTAATGGTATCTATTCAACACTGTACCTAACCTCTAATCTCCTTATTAATATATCAGAGTAGGCGACCTCCTGTCTCTGCATTCGCAGGTC